TTTTTTTTTATCTTAAAGATTACTTTAAGATTTATCCAACCGCTTAAAAAAGTAAAATTATGCAAAATTGCAAATTTTCCCCTTACTGATACCTTAATTTCTCAGTAGGACCGGAAGGCGCAGTAGTCCAATGGTTACTGCGCTGAACTCTATATCGCATGTTCGGTTTCCGAACCCTGACGGGCGTCTTGGGCCAGACACTTTACTCTTTAACAAATAAAATATTAAAAATAACACCAAACCTGTCAAATCTTTCAGTGGTTTGCTTTATATTTTCATCCAAATTTGCTCTTTCAATACAGGAGTAGGTTGCCATCGTAACATTAGCCGCATGTACATATTACGGACCTATTTTTACCACTGTTAAACATGTTGTAATATATCAAACACGAAAGACGGTGTTTGACCACATTTCCAAACACCGAGAAGAGAGTTGAAAATACGACGCGTAACAGAGTATTTTTGACAAACTTCGAGGTGTTTGGTAATGTGGTCAAACATTGTTTTGAGTGGTAGATATATCTTCTCAATCGCAACTAAAACGAAGGAGAAAATGGAGAAATAAAATCGTAAAAATCTATGCTAATTAAGATCAGATATCCAAACACCGTCACGGTCATGATTTCCTTTATTTAAACTTGATGAATCATTAATGAGCTGGAGAAGTTTTGGGAAAAGTCTCTTTCTCAAAAAGCAAATTATTTCAACTGATAACGGAGGCTTTGGATAAACAATTAAGAATAACAATTAGCGATTATAATTTTGAATGACGTTTTGATGACTCGTTCATCATTCTGAAATTCGTAAAACTAAAAGTCAGATTCTCGTGAGTCCTTTATATACTAAGAATGCGTGTTAAAGTCTCGTGGCATGTGATTAAGAATTCTACAATGTGGAATGTAGGGTGTTAATTAGGTACTAAGTAGTTTTGCTTTGATTGAGTCAGATTTGAAAATGATGAACGGGTCATCGAAACGTCATTCAACATTATTATCGCTAATTTTTATTCTTAATTATTTTAACTAAAGCTAGTAAATAGTGCCACATGGCGGATTATAAAAGAACGCCTGATCAGCTATCGCTGTCAAGTAAATAGTAGTCTTAGAAATATTTACTTGTACTTATTTATTCTAAATAGCGAAGCGCGCAAGTGACGTTATAACTCAGACAAATTCAGACAAACAAAACGGAATGGTGGAAGATTTAAAGCTCTTTCAAGCGCGTAAACAAGTGTTCCGAAAACAATATTTAAAACGAAAATTTGGGGTTCATTTGCCTTCTATTTCTCTCAGAACACGCTTATGTTGTCTGACTCTCGCGGGGTTCCAATAATTTGCATTCTATTTTTAGAATTCGCGCGCTTCGTTATTGCGCTCGAAACAGGAGCCATTATGGCTCCTGGCTCGAAATCATTTGACTACCTATATGAATAAAATACATGTATGCCTGCTTAGAGGCTTTAGTGTTTCGTGCAATGTAGTGTTAATTTGGTTGAGCTTAAAGTGTTAAAGGAATTACATCTTTAAAGAGTGTCTCGGTGACCCCATTAGTGGTTGATTTATACCCTGATCTGTTAAAAGACTCGACATATTGTCTGCCAACAGGAGACTTGTGGTCGATCCGGCAGGGATGACAATAAAAGATGGGATGATTTCAAATTATTATAAATTACATATCAAAATGATGAGACCAACTGCTAATTTACTGCAATTATGAATTTTATGTAAACTTACTGACTCCTTTATTCAATTTAATTGTATTTTAAATTCATTCGATTCATTGCGGTTTAAGTCTTGACTCTGAATTTAACTCCATGCGTTAAATGACTATTTCTCAACTTTACAGAGGTTTGCCTTCCTAAGCATAGTCTCAAGAAATGTTTTAGCTCACCTATGTTGTCTATGTACCAGCAGGACGTTTTGAAAATCAAAGATTACATGCTTCCGTTGCCGTTTGAGACGAACTAAAAAAAATTGGTTTAACACAAAGTGGTATTTTCTTACATAAATATTTTCCTCAGGAAAATGACACTATAATCGGCACAAAAAAAAAAATGAAAATGAAAAAAGTCACTGGATCAGTCCACGATCACTAGTTCAATTTAAACACATTTCCCATTTTTTCCTCTGCGAATCGCGCGTCCTAACTTTTCGATCTCATTCAGGAGAGTCTCCTGGAATTCTTTTGCCTCTTCTCTTCTCTTGTTTTCCATGGCCATCATTTCATCTCTCAATGCATTGAGTTTTTCATACACATCCGGGTCCCTTGTGATGTGCTGGACGGCTGCCGAAGACTGGGCCTCGCTGCTCGCACGTGGGCACATCTGAATTGAGATTATTAATTATTCAGGCTTATTTTAATAAGTTTAAAAACTGGTAACTATTACCTTTTCACTTTCATGCTTATGTTTCTTTCTCTAAGTTCATATTTTCTCTGACTTGGGGAGGTGCAGTAGCTAACAACTGGTGCAGTGACTAGTTCAGATCGAGGGGTTTGGACTCGGGTCCGTCAGTGGTCGACACGTTTAGCAACAGCGTTTTCAGGTCAACGGAAAACCGCAGACGGCAGTTTCAGGTTAAGTGTTTGGCGTTGGATGTTTGTGACCTCTATTGGTTTAGCTACGAAAACATGAAAGAATTATTTCACTTGAAGAGGCCGCCATATTGAATTTCCAGACAACAACAGAGTTTTTTGGATTTTCAAAAGGCAACAAAAAGTTCTGTTTTCGCTCATTGGCTAAAAATTTTATCTAAACTTGTACTAAAAAGACTAGTTTACCGATTTTCTTACTGAGCACGTCGCATAAACAGAAATTCAGGATTGAAAAAAACGTTCAGGTAAATCACTTACGTGAAAACCTGCTTCTCGGAGCGCAACCCTTGGTCACGTGACTCCTAGCGGTTTGCCGTTTGTCACTATTGTGTTGTGTTCTTGGGCAAGACACTTAACTCTCCCAGTACCTCTCTCCACACGGGTGTAAAATAAGAAACTGGCGAACTGTCACGGAAACCTGAAAACATTCAGGGCTACCAACCCGTGAACCATTAATATACTCCAAGTCGCCTCATGCTGTCGTTTATCTTTATAACAACAATAAAGATTGTGGTTTTAAGAATTTGAAATCTCATAAGCCATCAGACTCTCGTAAGACTTCATTTCGGATAAACTAAACCTAAATCTCAACACATGGGTCATAAGTAAGGTACCTTTGCAAGGACACGAATTCCTTTGTAGCCCATTGCGACGTAGGGGAAAAGTTCCGTTCGTCCAGAGATGTACTCCATTGAAGTACGTCCTACCACATGGCTGTTCTTGAAAAAGACAATGGGAATTACGCCATTTTTTGCCCCATCGAAATCAACTTCACAAGCCATGAGATCACCACGGTACGCCATCGCGTCTGAAAGAAAAGAAAAACATTGCTTAGAAAAGATACTAAAGAGCACTGAGAAAAATTCCCAGTATATGCTCACGTCACGCCTGTATGTATACATATGCATACATACATACGTTTATTCCACGTTCCCAAGGGGCTTTTCAGTGCAATATGCAACAAACAACAATAAAATACAATAAAATTAATTCTATGTGAATAAAATTTAAAATGCACTAAGAAATTCAAATCTTATAGAAACGAAAGATGTACTGAATACAAAGCAACCTCGTTCCCACGGTGTCTCTATGTCCCAACAACAGAGAGGGAGAAAGAACCCGGTAACGAGGTTGAAAAACAAAACCAAGCCTTTGAGTAAGTCTGTTAGTCGGCCCGGAGAAACGAGGAGAGAAAGTCGAAACGAGCAAAACCACGAAAGATGAAAGAACTCATCAAAAACCTAGCCGCCAAAATGAACTCAAAATTAAATCGCATTGTAAAAGTAGGAAAACTATTCACAGTGAGACGAATCATTAGGTTACCTGCAACTTCTCTACCCAGGTTATCGCCACAGCGTGCTTCAAATATTTTACCATCATCAGCATGATAACCGACTGTTCCATCAATCCACCCGGGCATGTAATGACAGTTGTAGCCTTGGTACACAACACCCACCCCCACAATTCGCCTTTCACCACTCTCCTGAATTAGAACCTGCATGACAAAGGGTCACCAAAGGGTCGTTAATTTAACAATTGATTCGTGCCGGCTTTAGCGTGCATCACCGAGTTATGCAAGCGGAGAGTTCGAAGAACACGAAAGAAACGTAAGAGCTGCTCGAGGCGCAACCAAGAACTTAAGCTTCTTGAGGGCTCTCCAAACTTCGCCGGCAAGTGCATCACAACTCAACGATGCACAGCTTAAGTACGAATTATTTGTTTTGACATAGCCAATGGAAATGGCGAAGCGAAGTTAGCTTTGCTCACGCCATGAGCGTGCATCAAGGATTCCTGAAGCACGCTTGTTTTTACTGAGTTCGTCTACGAACAAACTTCTTTAACCTTTCAAGGTACAGTCTAACCTCGCGTGTGTGGGCACCCTTGGCATCTGAAAAACGTGTCCACATGGTAGAGGCGTCCATATGTGGGGGGTTAAAACTGTAGTGTTTATGTGTGTCTAGGGACAGAGCTGACTGTCTGATTACGAGAGGCGTTCGCCTACAGTATGTGTCTGTTGACAATAGCTGTATCAGTAGACCCTATCAAGCCGTTTACGAAAGCCTCTTGGTTGAGGACTATTTACCAAGTTCCGAAATCCACTTGCTGTCGAGTTGGAGCTCAAAAAGTACACGTAGTTTCTTCGCCAATTTCGCTTTGAGAAACAGTGCGGAAAGAGATGCGGGCTAACGGCTACATGACGCTCTTACAGTTAGCTCTTGAAGACACCAAGAAACACAAAAACCACAGTAATGCTCAAGTTAGTTGCTTCAATAATTGTAATGATGAGCTGGCAGTAGAGACATCAAAGCCGAAACGTTAGACTTGGCCCATTTAACGATGTTTTTTCGTAAAAAGGTCGGCAAAGGCTAATGAGCACTCCAGTCATCAGTTACCAGTCATCCTGTCATTTACAAGATGAATAGGATGTAAGTTCCTGGTCACGCTTTTAGGTGGCTCAACCGAGCAAACATATATAGGCACTCATTCCAAATCAAACTCACTTCGCAATCCGCTGTCCGCATTTAATTAAGTCACATAGTGAGTAGTGTCCAGTTATAGTCATACTCATAATCATAGCAATATTTCAATTTTTCTTAGACATTTCTGTCCAATGGGGAAAGGTACAATGAGGTTAACCCTATGTAAAGCACCAACCCGGAAGACAAGGAGAGACCACAACACTGGGAACTGCGTGCCCTACTCTTTTCGATAAGTGTGTGGGTTCTTAAAAGTCCCCTGCTTACCATGTAACTCTGAAAATGCAAGAGACGGGCCTACGGTTCATAGTCCTTATCCGAGAAGACTTGAACGTCTAACCCTTTGCAGATGTAACTACAAAGGCAGCACATTCTCCTCAGTTATTTTAAGACCCTGAGTGTTGGTCCGGTCTGGTGCACGAACCCTCGACCTCCCGCACAGAAGTCTGGCGATTTAGTACCAACTGAGCTAACCATGCCATTCACAACAGTTCCTGTTAAATATCTCACCTCCAACCTGGGATTTTCACGTGTAAAGGGTGTCAGACACCGGGCACCATGATATTCCGTGGGAGTTTTTGAAGTATCACAAAGAGTACAGGAAACAGGACCCTCGTAGGTCAACAGGCAATTTTCGATCCCAATTCCAAGCGACTGCCATGCCTGCAACGACAAACATAACACAGTGTAAGGAAACTAAAATGCTTTGTAACGAGGCTGAATCAACACTAGCAGTTATCAAGAACGCGAGAAGTTCCAAATTACTCAATGTATTCCTTGACTTCTCTAAACAACTAAAACTTTTTCTCCATTCTATTATACCATGTTCACATGTCTTCTCTTAAAACGTTGTGTACTCCCTTAACTATCTATAGAAACCTTACAATAACTGGAGACTGACTAGAAAACTTTCGGGTTACTTCAGTCTCCAGACTCAAATTGTACATTTTTTTCTGTCCTTTTATCTACATGTATTTTTGTAAAACTATAAATGTGCGAGTGATTAAAGTTGTTGTTATTGTTGTGGTTGTTGTTGACGATTGCTCCTCTTAAAACATCGACTCTGAAATAAACGCGAGAAAACGCTATGATATACGTCTGAAAATAGAGAGAAAAAAGGTTTTTCCTAAAGGATGACAAATCACTTCCCGAGGAGCAAATACATACTTTTCTGCGGAAATGTTCTCCAAAACAAACGAAAATCCACTTTTACAGTGGCATTTCCCTGAACATTCAGACCTTGCTAAAGAAACGATCTCTCAAGAGGACGAGTAGATCAATAATGTATGGTGGTTTCAACTCACGCAAGCTTTGGCGTTGAATGTTCTCTGTTCACAGTCTTGGTGTCGGAACAGCTGTCGAATGATCTGATTGGCCATCTGCCGATTTTTGTCCGTTTCGTGTAGCAGCTGATCCATCCTTCGCTCGTCTAAAGGCAAAGATAAATGAAAGAGTAAAAAGTTAAGTCTGTCCTCGAGCGCTTCCATAACAAGAACCTACTACGAGCATGGCCACTCCCCTTCACTACTCCCCCTAGTCCACAGTTGGTTTCCCCTCTAAGTTTTTTCGATCAGTAACACAATAAAATCCTGTCTTTAGAACGAAGAGCTGAGTTGACACGCGAAACTTCAACTCTCGATATTTGCCAAGTTGGAAAGACCTCGAGAGCCTGATTTACGAGAGACTAACTACCAGTTCAATCTCGTTCCAGGGTCTCTCTCTCCTGGGCGAGAGAAAAGGGGGCGGGAAGAGAGAGACCCTGGGAACGAGGTTGCTGCCAGTTCAGGGAGATATCCTATCATCCCCAACAAATGTTGATGAAGCCTGCGGTTTACGTTGCTAAGCAACATCGATAGGAAACCCTTTGAGTCCTTAAATCGGTATTCAAAGGTTACTCCCAGAATGAACCAGGCAAGTATTCTTTCAAAAAAAATCTCCCGTCGACAGACCAATGTGAAAATCATCCTGTTGCAGCTGTAACGCATCCGAGAAGTCCTCACTTTAAGCAGAAATATTCAACTTATCGCCTTCTGGCGAGCTCTTTCTAGCTTTCACGTCATACCTAGTCCTATGACGCACATATTAAACAGCCTGCAAGAGCTGTCAAGAAGACTTATTCGCATGCTACGTTACACCTCTCGATTACACACCCTTGTAATGTTACTGTCTTTACCAACCTGTAAGCGGAAATGAATAACCAAAAGTTGCGAAGTAAGTTCTCGTAAGTTTCATCACCACTTGATCTAACGCTGCATCCTGTAAACAAGAGAACCAAATCAGAAACAAGTTTCGATCAACAATTAGTCCTTATAGAACAGTTCAGACTGGATCATTCATCGCCAATTTCAAGAGTAGTCCGGTAGGCTGTGGACGAGACGTTTGCAGTCCGTTTAAGAAGATCTCACACTCAAGCTAGCTGAGGTTGGGACGAGAATTGACTTGGAGTAAAAGGTCGGGAAGTTGAAGCTGCTAACGAGGTCTGTGGAAGTGCCTATGCGAAAGACAAATATTGTTTTGTCTCTTTCATGAAGCTTATAGTAAGAGTCCAACGAAATCTACGCCCCAAACGAATGGTTCTTTCGCGATCGTGTTTGAAGCACTCCTTGAATTCGGAAAAAACTCATTGAAGTTGTTGACTTTCTAAGCACAGCAAAGTCCAAAAACACTTAACACAAGATTTTTGGCCTGACAACAATGATCCCGTAAGGACCCGGCAAATTTTGCGCCATGCGTCTTAAGACAAAAAGAAGCGAGCATACCCTTCGTTCAACATCAACTCCAGGTTTTTCGAAGAACTTCCTTTTAAAGAAACACCGCTGACACAGTTTGGATAGAGCGACAAGTGGCATGCTTATAAGGTTGAAAGGGACTGGCACCGGATGGCATGCACTGTAAGTGTTGATTGCTGTTGCCTTCTTAAACGACCACTCTCTTAAGGAATTATCCTGTCACAAAACAAGAAAGGTACATTTAGTAGATAACTAGCCACAGGATAGATAGTTAACGATTATTTGGTAATTATTCACCGAAGTGGATGTGAACAGTATTCACTGACACGTGCGATTTTTATTTAGGGCCCACAATCCACTCGACGACTTCTGGAGGATCAAACAGCCCATGTAAGGTTGAAGTTGTTTGATAGCTTAGCCGAAGCCTTTTATGAAACACTTATGTAAACTTAGGTGTAAACGCAACAGAGAAGCACCTGAGCAATAACAGCACAGTCAGTTCTCAAAGACATGTACATGTAGTTGAATTCTAGAAAGCTATGGTTTCTCGCTAGACAACGGAGCACATCTCGTATCACGTCACCGACAACATGTTGACATCGAAATTTGCAAACAGACAAGCTAACAAACTTACGAGTCGATTGACATTGTAGTCGCTCGAACACCTAATATACCTCACTACTTTACTCTAGTTTAATTTTCTATTGGTGTTTGGTGGCGAGGAGACTTCTCTTGGTGGCGAGTTCGTTGGTGGCGAAATCCCCCGGTGGCGAGGGGACCAAATACCCACTATCTGCACAGAATAGATGGTGAGTAGCGTAGCCAATCAGAGAACGGAATTCGTGATAGAACGCTGGTAGATTTATACTAAAACTCGATAGAAACACGGTGCATGGTTTCTATTTCTTAAATCAGTAATGTCCAAAACTTTGNCTTTTCGGACATTTTCAGCATCCACCAAACACATCCACCGGAGGACTGGATTACATTTCTAAAAATAACTTGTAATCAAGAGAGACTACCTTGAGAATAAAGCTTATATAGGTTACTGACTCTCTCACCTTCATCCTCTCTTATTGAACCTAATGATGTAGGAATAATGGAAAAACTTTCAACTAGACTATATTTTAACCTTCATAGATTCCTCTCTCTCTTTCATGCATTTGCACACTAAAATTCAACCTAAAACACGGAAACTCACTCTTGAACTACGTGATTGGGATCAGGCAGTTTATTTTAATCCTACACATACAAGCAACACAGAAAATGATTCTGCTAATTACAATCTTCAAATAAACTTCGATAAAACTAGAAGCCCATCGAGAGCCTGTACAAGATAATTATAAATAAATAAATTACAAAGATTATAACACAACGAAAATCATTACTGCCCATGGAAGTGGGTGGGCGGGAAAGCTAATGCTATTAACTTGAAAAGCACGAATTAAATAGATAGCTATTGCACTATTGCTAGAATGATACTGATGCACGCTAGATCTGAAACTAGGTTACATACTAGGTATTGAGCAATACTACAGTTATTTTACTCTAAAGTACGTGGTGGAATTTTACTGGCTTGCTATAGTCTCATGACTTTGCTATAAAGTTGCTCAATCGACTAAAATTAGGCTGTGACCTTTGCCTGAACCCAGCTGTGAAACTAATGAGTGGTTGTCATGTCTAGATTCATATTAATGGTATTAATATTCAACAATTATCAAGACATCTTTCATATATGTAAGTGAAAAGGAAACATACTTGACAACAGATACATGTAAGCTTGATGAACTTGAAAATAAGAGTGGTTTATAAAAAGCTTGACAGTACTTACAGATGCTTGTGGGAGCCATTATAGGAACTGTATGATGCTTCCACAACATAAATCTTTGTCATTGCCAGCGAGAAACCCAGAATAGTTGAGATAAACAACCAAAATATTGCCCTCAAATCTCTCAAAATCTCAAAAACAGCAATTTGTATGGTACCCATTCCTCTAGCAACTTCCATCACACGACCAAAGGCTCGGAGCGTCAGAAGCAGGGCGATAAAACCGTACAAATAGCCAGCCACAGCCAAGGATCTGTTGCCAGACACTGACATAGATACAACCCATGTGATCATGTGCAGAATGAATGTGATGACATAGATAGAGACAATGATCAAGTCCAACATATTCCAGCAATCACTGAAAGATAAAGTCAGCATTGCACTAAGTGGCTTATCAATGGTTCCTGTAGCATTAAGAAACTGGAAGTATTTCTACTCCCGCCCTTCCCCTCCATCCTAGAAGTAGATACAGCATAGGATCCTACAACACTGAATTTAAACTTAACTAAACAAGGTTACAGGAGATGGTATACTTAAGTGCTTGGCAACACTCCACCACTTTTCCGACGTCAATACTTTAAAGGATGAATACTACCACTGTTTATCAAATAATGCTACAATACCATAAATGCCCAGCCATTGGCGAAATATTATGTCAATTTTCATGGCATAATAGGTTACCATAGCAACAGTACAACCCTGTTAAAATTATCATAATTGAAACTAAAAAAAACCGGTTCACCAAACTTGTTCTAGTGTTAAGGTGGCTAAATAGCGCAATGATTTATCGTCTTTCACATGCTAGTGTCATGTTTTTGCATTCGTTTTAACACCCAGTCCTCTCAAACTTATTAATTGTATTAAGCAATGATGATATATTGATTTACTGTCATCTCTGTTAAAATCTTGGCTTTTAATCTTGAATTATTAATGCCCAAACAAATGCGTTTTTTTACCATTTTTTGGCTTTATTTGTAATTATCTCGAATTTTCTTTAGAGAAATTTTCCAAATTTTTTACAGTACACCCTGCGGGATACAAATTTTAAACACAAAAAAGTAGCGTTTGTAAAGGAAGTTTTTTAGATTTTTGCAAATTTATGTCTTTTAGCACTGCGGAAAAACTGGTCAGGTAGACTTCCCTGAAAAACGAGGTCCAGCTTAAGTAAAGTATTTCTTTCCCGTCTGCCAATTTTTACAGAATTCCACAAAGGAAACGCGAGAATTCACTGTCAGTTTTGCTTTTTGTGCTCGAGTAGACGTCATAACATATTGAAAAACAGATGTTTTCCTTTGAAAGCGCGCAGATTACTTGAGCTTTCATCCTAAGCGCACATGTGATCATAAAACTATAGGGAGCCACCTTAACAGCACTTTAAGCTTAGTAAAATTGTGGGTATTTTACAGGTCATACTAATAACACATAATAATAAATTAATTTTTTAAGAGAAGGCTTCCAATCACATAGAGGTGGTTTTCAGGAGGGTTTCCATGTTGCGCTATGTTAACCTGTTGTGTTGCAAAAATGATAGCAATGTGTCCACCAGCAATTGGGCAGTTTTTTTATACCAAGATTGTAACATTCATTGATAAAGAGTGGTTATAATGACTCGTATAATGACTGTTGCCAACAACCTTAACTCAGTTGGTGACACAAGTAAATCTTACAGAATCAGACCACAAGTACCTTTATCAGAAAATAAGGCATTAAGATTTTAAATAGCTTGGTTGAATGACAGACAATCTCTGCAGTCTCTCTTTCTCCTCATGGATCATGTAACCAGAAACAAGTCAAAAAACTTGTCTGAGGAAAAAAAAAGTCTTAGGATGACTGGAGGTGTCTGCCTTTCATCAATGATTCACAAAAGGGAAGATTAAGGGAAGTGCTACATCATTAAAAAGTTTCAGCCCTTTTTCATCATATCGCAATTCCAATCGCTGCCATTCATTTCAGAATTAACTTTTACAAGGTGCACAATGTACCTGAGGTAGTTGGCAAATTTTCTTAGCAGGACAGTTTGGCCTGATGAGTCTGCATCCTGCTTGATATATAAACCCTCTTCATGGGTAGCGCTGAGGAGTAATCTGCTGCGCCTTCTTGTTGCTCTTCTCCCAGCCTTTACAGCAACCATAACCTTGTCAACCTCCAGTACAACGCGTCCAAGAAAAAACAGCAGTATGACGCATTCTAGTTCACTTATGGTTAGAGTTGAAGGCATGAGGCAAATGACAAAGAGAAGGCCAAGAAGGACAACAGAACTCAGTGTCTCACGAAAAAACAGGAAGTACGGAGTTGTGAAGTAGTCCATATAAAGCTCTGTAGAAGAAATTGGGAACTTAGTTTACATCTAAAAATTTGGCTTCAAGTAAAGCTTCTTAACAATATTGTGAACAATTCTTCAGGTACACTGTGGCAGTGATAAAATGATGGAATACAAAGGATGACAACTTGAGGAGGCTCCACAAGTGAAATAATATTTCATAACATATAATGCTTGCCTGCAGCCCTGTGAACAACTTAAGAATGCAAATAAACACAATTTTCCCAGTTATGAAACAAGAAAAAACCCTTAGGACTAAGTGCATAACAAGGAGCACCACTATTCAAAAGCCATGCAATTTCCTTGCCACAACTCTGCTTCTACTGTTCAGCAACAGGAAGGAGCAAGGGCTTCAGTGATGGATTGATTTGTTAACAGACAGCTGTACAGTAATGCTCCAATCTCAGTTAGGTTACTGATATTAAACAATGCTCCCAACAACATTACAAGTGCATGTAGTGCTCTTGTATTACACAGGTCATCAGGTTTCACTGACTCTCAGCCAATATGTCAATTGACACTCAGCCGAGCATCGGCTGCCTTGTTCTTCAAATGGTAGACTATTGGCTGCCACTATCCTCAACGCTTGTTCATTATGTCAGTTGACACTAGCTGACACATTGACCATTACATTATGATCAACTCTCACCTGCATTTTGGTCAACTGGTGGTACTGTATATCACTTGACTTTCAACAATATATTGTGTATTGTTAACCATTGGTTTTGCTGAAATAGTCTTAAATGTCAGCCATCTCCTCCCCTAACCCACAGAGGCAGAGAAAGAAAAGTCTCTCTCACCTGTGCCCATATGAGGATAGAACTTGTAAGGGTACAGCTTGCACTTTAGTCTGTTTTTCAAATCTGAAATGGCCATTATTTTGAATACGTATCTAAATTAAGCAACATGACAAGGCAACATGAGGTCTGAACCAACACTGAGGAGGCAATAAATATTTTGCAACTTTGACATAACTTAATGGCACAAGAAATGGACCAAGTAACGCTAGGGTATCAGCAAAGTGTCAACAGAGTATCGGCCAAGAGTCTGTGGATTATTGACTAAGTGTCAAGAGGCAACCGATGTCAACCAGCATATCAGTCTGAATTGATTGACATACTGGCCAGTTGTCATTCGGCATGTCCATTGAGTATCGGCCAATATGTCAACTAACACTCAAAAGTATTAAACGATATTCAGCCCACAGGTGCACTATCTAAAGCACAACAATTAAATCATTTACAAAATATTATTCCACCAGTCAGAAACTCAAAAAGGTTTAGCCACCTTCAAATTTACAAGTGACACGGTCCAAACCATTACCCTTCTGCCTCCATTGACACAGGAGATTCCAGTACATTTGAATTGTGTTTTAAAGATTAATAAGTAGTAGTGGTAGACTGGTACCCAAACTTGCTTGCCTTATTTTATATTTAAGAATTCCAACATTTCTTACCATATATGTCTTTTCCCTCCAAGCCTATAATATAAACATATAAACAAACAAAAGAGTGAGTCATCAAGCCTTGTGAATTTCAAGTTAAGCTGTGTGATTAGATGTTTGTAAATGTACCTTGTATAATGGCTGTTCCCACTGTCCTTGCAAGCTCAAATTCTTCAAAATGAAGGGCATTTTCCTCCATAATCTCTTCCAGTTGTGACTGTTTCGCTTTTTCACCAAAACCAACAGTGACAACTTTAACACCCATTTCCTTGATCTCCTTCACTTGTTCACAAACTCCAGGCACATTAGTCAGGTCATCAACAAACACTATAAGTGCCTAAAGTGGAATTATACATTGAATTACACATTGTGCATATTTAGATGTTTATCTTCATTTTTAAGGAAGCAGACAGGATGGACGGACAGATGGAAAGACAAACAGACGTGCATGTGGACTGATGGAAAGAAGGAAGAAAGGAACTATTGAAGGAGGGAGGGAGGGAAGAAATGTTTTCATACTTATAGGTTTTATACTAGGTACCTTGGATGATCAGGTTTTCCATTATTGTTAACCTGACTTCTTTGCAATTGGTAAAAGAATAGTCTATTACATGTACACCTAGAAATAAGGATTTTTAAAATCACTTGTGAGTGGGGATTCATGTGCATGTGGCTTAATTAAAGATCCATCACTTATTACTTACCTTCTTGCTTTCAATGCGTACACAGGAGTTTTTGAAAGCATTACAAGCAACACGAAGGTCATCATGAAGCTGCGAGGATGTTGAACTGGACTTTTTAAATCCATTTATTCTTTCAATCGTTTCAGTCTCACTTAGACAATCCTCTTCAAAGGTGATGCTCATAGAAGTATTGTGTTCTCCATTGCCTTGACACAGAATGACACAGTAGTTGGCAGAGTTGCAGCCATATTGATGGACTGTGTAACTGATTGTCCTCTTAATCAGAGAAAATACTTCTTCTTTGACAGCTTTGGACAATGACAGAACAAAACACACCTCCCTTTCTGTGAAATTGATGAGAAAATATAAACAACAGCCTCCATTTGGCACAAAAATATGCTTGATATTTGTCTGTGGACATTATCTGTTCCGTGAAGCAAGAAGTTTTCCAAGAGCATAGCTCGAAGAAAACTGTGAGCTTCAAGGAACAGCTAATGTCCAAGGAGAAATATCCAAGCATATTTTCCCACAAAATGGAGGCTATTGTGTTTATTATCCTTCAAATATTTTTCGCAACACATGCAGTTTAAAATTGGGGAATATCACTTGCCTGCATGGATATTCCCCAGTTTTAGCCAGAACATAATCAATCAAATGACCCATTTAGACCAATCATGTGTGAGCAAAAATATTTGAGGGAACATAACAAGAAATACACTTGAAGATGGCAGACTAATAGGGCTTTCAATGCTAGTTGGTTTTAAGAAAAACATTTTGCATGGTTAGTGGCCTGATGTGTGATGTAAAAATTTAAAAAAAAATGGCCAACATGTAAAAAAATTAGGGTCAGGTGCATGTAACAGAGGATTTGTGGAAAGGGGAACTATTACTCATTACATGGTATGTCTTAGTTGACAAAATGTTGACAGATATTTTCATTTTTGTAACTCATGAATGAACAATCATCAATAAATGATGATTGTACTTGTTATACTTCACAAAATTGATACTTAAACAAGATCGCAAACCACAAACATAATTTCTAATGGCACACCTGTTTTCTTCCTTCCATGAATTTTTATTTGACGGATGATGAAGAAAAATGCCAAAAGGAAAGGGAATAAAATGAAATCAAATACAGCCAAGACATTAAGAAAGATATATTTCCAGTAGCTAGAGCTTGTCCAAGATCCTTTTCTGATGGAGGCAAAGGAACCATACCATTTGGATTCAAGTAAGTTGTACATCACAGGATGAGAGATAAACTAAAGACAAAAAAACAGCAATACATGCATAAAATTTGGAAAATCCTGTTAAACAATAGACATCAACCACAGTAAATACATGCATCTGCAAACCTCATTTACATTTTTACAGATACCTCATGGGACATATTCAATCAAATGAGACCATTTAGACCAATCATGTGCAAGCAAAATGGGAACATAACAAGAAACACACCTGAAGATGGCAGACTAATAGGGCTTTTAATACTAGTTGGTTTCAAGAAAAACATTTTTGCATGGTTTAAGAGGCCTGATGTGTGATGCAGGCCAATCCTATGAAAGGATTGGCCTGTTAACCCACCTCCGAGGCCATCAAAGAAGAGGAGACCGTACTGTTAGAAGAAATGAATGCTCGGACATGAGCCAACGCCAACGACAATGTACCACTCACTGGACCTTTAACTGATGCTACACAATATAAACAATTTTATTGTGTTTCAAATAACAAAAAAACTTCCATAGATCAATTTTTACTAAAAATATATGCCAGGGGGCAAGTGTCACCACCTGGCATACATTTCTTAGTAAAAGTTGGCAAGTTTGGGGTCCCATATGTTCGTATTTTCATGGAACTTTGTAGACAGTCAAACCTCTGTTAAGGAGCCCTCTGTTAAGCAGTCACTCTCTATGAAGAGGTCACTATTCAAATTTACGAAATTTGCTTCACATATTTACTGTATATTTGACCTCTATTAAGCGGACGCAGTCACCGTTTGGACTTCCCAATTGGCTAATTTTATTGTAATTCAACTCTGTTAAATGGTCACCTTGTTTTATTAGGTGGCCAAATGGAGCACAATTTTACACTCACAAGGAACTCTCAATGGCACTGAACAAAGTCAGTGACATACTCCACTAAATTAAGTCATGCAACCACAATAATCACACACAACGACAACTGATTTTTTCTCTTCATGTTAAATGTGACACTAAAACTGTCAATAATCTGCTTTAAGGCAAAATGCTCAACGCCTGCCTCACGAACAACATTAGTGTAAAATCTGTTGATAATTGCGTGGATTTCTAGCTACTTAGATAATTTTGCCTCACAGTTGTTACAAACAATAAATGTAGTTTGCACGGTTACTTTTGTTTTCTTGTTCAATGTTTTGCCCCATACTGAGCTAAATTTTGATCACCTCTTTTAAACAGTCGACCTGAATTAAGCGGTCATCTGGCTATTTCCAGAGGGTGACTGCTTTATAGATATGGATATATTCTGGAACAAGACAATGTGAGAAAAATTGGTTTGTGTATTTAGAGAAGCTCTTATTTCGCAAATTGCCCAACAATTAACCCTCCTGCGTCCCACTGGTCATGCTAACACTGCAAACACTTGATGAAGCAGACTTCATTTATAATATTATTTTTACCAAGTTCAAGTACCTTTTTATGCTCTGTATCAATGGCTTTCTCCATAATGCCATCCAAGCAACTTCTGAATATGCCCCTGGAATCATGGTCTGACTTTAATGGGTGAATTAATGCAGCAGAGAATTCATCCAATGAATTGACCAATGATTCAAGTTCATTTCTCTCAGCCCCACCACTGTCTGGTAGATCTTTGAGTTTTTTCTTCACCTGCATCGACATAATTATTTAAACAGAAACAAATTAAATATGTGTTAAAGAAAGAAATTATGTACTAAGCATCAGCAACATACAGCCAACATGAAGATTTTACATATATGCACTAACACATGAACAGGGTTGTACAGGGGAGTCTCTGGCATTGTTCACGAATGGAAAAATAGCAAATCACAGATCACAGATATCAAAATTTCATTTTCCCGAATCACGAACATAAGTAAGAAAGGTACTCTTTTTAATGACCTGCTCTTACGCTAGAAAAAGAGTTTAAAGAAAGCAAAATCATGAAAGACTAAATTAAGGCTCCATATTGCAAATTGCACACCTAAATCACTCTCGATAGACGACTCTAACCATTTGTACTCTTTCGGAGGACTCACATCTCAAAATCACATAGAATAGAGTGGTAAAATTCTTCACGGTTCATGCAAAACCTTCAAGTCATGGAACACAAAGAATAATTTCTTAAATTCTCCTTTCACAGAAAATAAAACAAGAAGACCCCTGTGCAACCCTCCATGAACATGTAAACCTGTGATCATATATGAGTCCACATTATTTTATTTTCTTACTAAATGTAGTGCTAAGCCCCAGAGAAAAACTTTATTTTTCTAAAATGATTACAGTAGATTGAAAAACCACAAGTAATATACCAGTTGAAAGGTATTGTTTGGGGTATGTCCTAAATCACCACAACAGACATACAAGAATTCACAAATTAAATTGAGGAGTCTGCAAAGTCAAAAAATGAAAACACTCAAGAATACCTTATTCCTTGTATATATTGGGTATACCCCTAAACAATAGCTTAATTTGCAGCTCTGGGTGGGGATGTGCTGCTGCGACCCTGGAACCCTTGGCCTATACCAGAGCTAGTTCAGCTGAATTTTGCTACCCCATACTAAAGTAAACTCCCCAAATCCCCCATCTATCGACACTGTTGACGCTGATTTGCGTAAATTTAAACTTGCCGATTTGATTTTTTTATATTATTGAGTGGCAATTCCTGGTTTCCTTAGTCTAGATAAAATCTTCAACCAACTAGTCAGT